CTCCATAACACACAGTAATCCATTTACATATTCTTCTATCCTCCCAGAATATGAGCTTTCTGAAAACAGGAGGACTGGCACCTTTGCACACCTATTATCTAGTGAACTGTATGGCCCAAAATAAATTCTAATAAATGTGTGCATGATATATCGTATTTCATGAAATACTATTGTGTGATATAAAATGTTCTCCTATATTTTTCCACATTTTAATGTTTCTGAAATAGGAATGTCTAATAATTAGTAAGTATGTTTGACTACCATGTGTTCCCTTCTCTTTTCTCTTGGAAGGCATCTAACACCTGGTATTCAGAGGGTCCAGAAAATACAATATTGATGAACAGTTTCTAGCATTAATAGAAACTGTATCAACAACTACTTTTCTTACTGATGTGGTCAATTCTTGATTTTCTATGGTAATACAGGACAGGAGTGGCTAAATATTCCCTAATGATGGAGAAAAATATATAAATGATTTGAATATATTTACCAAATAAATCACTTTTTTTCAGAATTATCAAGTTATTTTTCTGAAACTAGTATCCGAAAAAACCTGGTTTCTGAATATGTGCCAACTATTGGAATCAAAAGATTCTAACACCTCAATCAAAAGCATACAACTATGAGCGCATTGAACTAAAAGCGTCATCTTTTAATACGCTATAACATATCCACCTTTTCTTTCTTATACTTACTACTGGACTTTATTTTAAATGATGGCAAGATATACTGCTTCCTCAACCATGTTTTTCCTCGCCAGATTCTGTAATTCTGCTTACATGGGACAAAGTCTTTATTATGTCTACAAGATTTAACTTTTGCCTTTTCCACTTTTCCAAAACTGTTCTATCATTTAATACACCTCTCATTCTAAACATATTTGCCCTCACAAGGTTTCAGGCTCCTTAAATTATTAATGATTTATGCCCTCAATGCCCTGTTCTCATGTAATTAGCCTTTTTCTCTGCCCACTACCCTAATCTGCCTATGTTTTAAAAATATATTCTTATTTTTATTAAATGAATCCAGCAGGGTATTTTTAATTTCTCACTAAAAATTAAGTATAAAGCATGACATTACAAATGATTAATTCTAATCAATGTGATAACATGCTGGCAAAAACTTGGATAGAAAATAGAGGTAATTTCCCCAAAGATTTACCAATTGATGTCGGTCTAAATCTGCAAAGGTTGGACTTGATCAGATTGTGTACTAGACTGACTTTAGGTAAATCTACATGATGAACATGAGTTACTTCATAGTCAAACATGCACTACTTACATCAGAACTTACATCCTGGACTCCTAAGAACAAAAAAAGTTTACAATATTGAAAAGATTATGGGATATTATCTCAAATGCTAAGCCTCCTGGTGTTTCTGTTTTTCTGTAAATAGATGTACTTTCTGACGCAATTAACTGAAAAAGTTCTATAGGAAAATACCAGTTTCTGATACTAAATCAAAATGGCTCTAGTACTTAATTTAAATCTAAAATAGAAATAACATAAAAATATAGATATTTATATTAACAGAACATGCTTTTAACAAAAAGAAAAATTGCCTTTGACTCTAAACCACATCATCAGCTGTAAAGCTATCTTAGTTTAGTTTCTTTAAAAGCTACAAACTATATTCATATGTAAAATTACTTAAAAAGAAAAAATATATTCTCATGTCGAAGGGGAAGGAGGAAAGCTTATGAAAGCTGTTAATCCCCCCAAAATCTGCTCTTACTTACCAAATTTTGGAACACTCTAGAATTATAAATAAAAATGCTAAGCTATACTTTTATAATATTTATAGAACACTAAATATATTATAATCAAATCTCAATTGAAGTTTAAATATACTTTACAATTATTAAACTAGTCATTTAATACTTATACATTTAACAATTAATATTTCCTTAATCACAAAGCTAATGCCAGTGTCATTTACCTGATATGAAAAAACTGTCCAAAATGTAATAAATATAATTTAAAGTTATCATTCTGAAAGTTAATCACCTAACAGAAGTCATTCATAATTTATGGTATTTCTATGGTTCTGATTAATTCATTTTAGTTAACACATTTTTATGTTTGCCATTTCCATGGAGATTACAAAAGTTATCACATATGTATTGCAAAATGTATCTGTATAACTGAATTGACATTAAGCCTATTTAATCTAGAACATTTCTAAAAACTTCACTGAGCTGCCATAATTTTTGTCAGCATATGTAGTACTGAATGACCATTAAAATACCTGAATTGAAACTATTCCAGTCTAGCAGTTTGTAAGATCTTGTGTTACCCATAATTCCGACAAAGGCTGAGTTCAAAACAGCAAATTAGTAGATCAGTTTTAGGTGCAGAATAGTAAGAAAAAAACAAAAAACACTACAAATAAGAACACAATTGACAACACCACTTGACAGGAACTAGAAAGACACAGACAGCAGAGTTAATAAGAAGTAGAAATAGAGAAGAAGGAACATGCTATCATAATCTAACATTAACTAAAGTCTAATTAAAGATAATTACCTTTTCAAAACCACCCCACTCTTTCCCTTATTGGATGACCCTGTTTGCTTAATATTTAAAAAGAGGAAGTTCCAAAAGAAATAACTCCAAAATACAACCCATAGAGTTAGCAGGTGGTTGTGATTTTAAAATAAGACTTTTCCTTTTACACTCAGTGTGAAAAGAAAATTTCCCATATTCACTAGTCAAAAAACAGCTGCAAGATTCATCTGAGAGTCCAATACAGCACTTTTAACATTAGCACATGCACCTCATCCATCATAATTTTCTCTCGGCAGAGTAACTCAGTGTCATAAAATTAATACATCATCATTATGGTAGATGTTAACTGAGTTTTGTTTTAACATTCAGCTCTTTTCAAAATTAAAATTTTTTTCATAAATAATTATTTAAGGGGCCTGGAGATTAAGAAAATGTTAAGCAAATGTTCCTTTTTAATGCATAATACACATACAAAAAACACAATGCAAAGAATGTGATAACTATATCAAAATAATATAATAACTCGACCATTAGACTATGTAATTGATTTGTGTTTAACTGAAAATAAAACAAAACTGAAATACAACTTACATAACATTAAAGTATTTATATGTATATGCCCACAATCTTCTGGGAAATAAAACATTAGTAACTGAGAATTTCTCCATGTGAACTGAAAAAATATTCTGATAGAGAAGGAAAGGAAGAGAATGGATGAGCTGTAGTTACAATACACAAAATATATTCTGTAATAAGGAAGGATTCGTGTTTTCTTCCCTGGGTCTGGATTCTTACATTTCTTACGCAGCTAGAATAAACTGGCAAGTATGGAAAACCCCCAAAAGCAGTTGTTGTTGTTTTTAAGTAATGCCATGTAAAATATGGCTCTCTACTTAAACTTAGTTAAGTAACCTTCATTTGTTCTCCCAGACTCTACAGCTTACTCAGAGTATGTGGAAGCAATGATGACATCAAAATGTTTTCAATAAACAGAAGACATCACCAACAACTGAATACATTCCTGAATTTTTGGAGCTATTAGATCCATGGGTGGGTGCCATCTATCAAAATATTTGAGTCAAGGGTCCACAGAAACACAGGTAGCTTGGCCTTGGGTCACCCAGTTAATGTCAAGTATTAACTCAGTATTTCCTTGCACTTTCCAAATAATTCAAGTTCCTAAACACACAGATATGAAACTTGGCATAGTCCTCAAGGTCTCAATCCAGTAAACTGGCCTCAGTCTAAACATGCCTTTTAATTACTGCAGAATACGCAAATACTACATGAAGATAAGATCTTAGATTGACTCAAAAAGTAAGGAACAGGGAAAAAAAAATAAACCAGAGAAGAAAAAGAGAAGACTGGTGCTTAAAAGATGTATTTGCTCAGCTTTAGAGTTAAATAATCCTAGCTAGTCTTGTTTTTCTGAAATCCTGTTCAGGGTCTAGAAAAATTCCATTCTGCTTAACTCAAATGACATCAAACCATAGGACACAGATTAAATTTCTTAAAAATCTAAAAGAATGGTAATGCTCTGTATCCTCAAAATCACTATTTGTGTTTTGCATACAATAATTTCAAAGCATTTTTCTCTTTTATATAGCTGTCGGTACAAGCCCCAGGAAGAGGTTACTGGAAGTGACAATTTAAAATTTTCAAAAACATATCTGATACGTGCCAAGTAAGAATATTAATATAACTTCAGGTTTAAGGTATGTCATCAAAATAATAAGTGATTTGAGCAAGTTACTGGGCATCTAGTCAATGAGAGATGTGAGAACAGAGTCCATAGGAAAGTTCCTACCATACTTATCATGCTTATTTTAGGTTTAGAAAAATCATCAAAGCATTTTTAGTCCAAGGGCTTGAAATTACTAGGACTTCCATGCCTCTTCTCTTTTATAATCAAGACCCCGTGTTTTAAAGAAGTGAGCTGTTATTTTTTCTTGTTCACTTATATGGAACAAATAGCTACATGAAAGAAACCAAGGACCCGAAGAGAACAGTTGCCTTTTTTAAACTCTTAAGGTACTCTACACAATGTTTACAATTACATTTTAAAAGAATACTTCTTTTATGAATAAGGAAATTACTCAAAATCCATAAAGAATTATTGCTAGTGAAAAGAATTAACACCTTAAGCCAATGGCCACAATGATCAAATTGTAAAATTTGTTATCTGCATGGGTCAAAGAAAATAATAGCTGACTCAAAAGTGACTTAAGGATTCCCTCAAAGTGATACACCTTGGCCAAAGATGAATCAAGATTTGTTCTGTATACAAACGTAACTAAAATATATACTTCTACTTAGTTTAATTATTTTTAATTAAGATTACTGCAAATATTTTAGAGCAACGTGCGTCAGTTCATACTTTCTTTGTCATTCTTCTTTCTGGATAGATTTGGCTTAAAAAATTATAAAAATCAATGTTAATAATCACAATGTAAGTAAATGAAACATCGAAAACAAACTTCTAAAGAACATACCAGGATTGTGGATACGATCCAAAAGCTTCACAGAGCGTGCACTAACAACTCCCCCGACATGCACGAGGAATCCAGGAGGAAACGCCGTCAAGGTAAAAAATGGAAATTCCTAGTAGAAAGAACGGGGGAAGAAAACAACTGACCATGTGTGAAGTACAAAAAATGTGCTTATTAAAAAGCTTGTCATAAGGAAATGAATTCTACCCCTTACAAAAGGCTACCAATTATGCATTACAGATGCTTTGTAATTAAAAGTTTTCTTGGATGTTAGAGCTCTAAATCCATTTTCCCACATGTTATACAAAGTCCGAACACTCTTTTTATCAATTCTAAATGAGAAAAAAAACGTTCTCAGAGTTCTAAATTAAGATATTTGAACAGGGGGCTTCCGTGGCGGCCCAGTGGGTGGGACTCCTCGCTCTCACTGCTGAGGGCCCGGGTTCAATCCCTCGTTGGGGAACTAAGATCCCACAAGCCACACGGCGTGGCCCAAAAAAAAAGGTATTTGAACACACTCTTCCTTCCTCGCAATCTCCTATTCTGATGCAAGGTGGCAATGAGACAGGAGGGCGGGGGGGGAATTTGCCTGCCCTGCTACCCCACACCTACTTCTCAGTGGGCGTAGACTATCCCTCAACACACATACCCTATCCCGGGCTACCAGTAAAGACTCTGAAGGTCTGGGGCAGGAGATGGAAAAGAATGTGGGACTCAGGGAGGAGGAGACAGAGATGAGCAGATCAGGTTAAGAGCTACATAGAAAGGTGAAGAGAAGAGCCAATGTCAAGTTCAGGTGGGCAGAGAATCATTGTGTGAGATTATTTACTCTATTAACATGGGGGCAGCAGGAAAAAAATGTAAAAACATAAATGCGTATTGAGAAAGGGGAGAGGTATGCAGATGACAGTAAGGCGAGCAATAAAATTCTACAAGTTCTTTTAGGCTTTATTCTCCCCTTCTCTCTCAAGGATATCAAACTTGTCAATTTAGAGACAAAGAGAAGCATGCGAGAGAGAAATGGTAAAGCAGAGAAAGGAAATTCATTGAAACAACACCCAGAAAGAAAGGGGAGTTCCTGTGGTTGCCCAAATACAGAAGCCTCTCGCGTTGTACAAATTGGATGCAAGTAAGGGAAACTTATTATCCAACCTGTCTAGCTGCAAGATTAATGTAGCTCACTTAACCAGAAGTCACTTACCAGTAGCCTCAGCTATTCAGAACATAACTGAGAACTGGAAAATAAGCAAAACAGGGCCCTCAACAGTCAAAAGAACTGTTATAGTTCCAAGTACTAAACTTCAGGTACTTCATTCGTAAGAGATCCCCACAGACCATATTCATATGATGATATATGGTAATTATAAATGTATAATGTTAGGAACATATTCTAAAATCTATTGGTATCTTTTTTTCTGGACCCACAGCAGATTAAATGCAGCAAATAAAAGCTGGGAGATAAAGAATATTACTAGAAGCAGGCACATTAAAAACAGCAAGATTACTGATTGTCTGCTTAAAGCATGGAGAGTACGAACTGACCAAAGCATAATTCACACAGCATAGCAACTTGGAGCCATTTACCACAGAGGCAAACAGTCCTGCACACCTCAATAACTCATGAGATACAGTATTAAAAAATATGTGTGTGCATGTGTGTGTATACATACACACACATACATATTTAGAAATAAATTCATTCGAATTTAAAAGTAATCTTTAACAAGGGCAAGAAAAACCTAGGCTATACAAAAAGGAGTAAAAAAACAGTCAATGGAAGTGGACAGGTTTGGTCCAGCTGATAGGAAGAGGAAAAGGAAGAGAAGGGAGACGACGGGAGGAGAATTTTACTTAAAAGTATTATAAAATGGTTAGTCAAGATAGCTCCTTATTTCCATCTAAATTTTTTAAAATATAAGTTTTAAATGAGGAATGTACAGGTAAGCTTATGTTACTGGAAACTTTAGTATTTTACCTAATAAGTTAGATCTCTAAGGTTTTTCAATTTTAAGAATACGGAAGTTTTTAAATTTCCTCAAACTACTGTGGCCAAGTATAAAAAAACACTTTACACTTAATCTTGATAGTTAACATTTTAAATATTCTGGGTAAGAGACACTGAAAATGAAAATTTTGTAAGCTAAATGGAAAACAGTACTTCCACCAAAAATTGAGAAATAAATTAGGTAAATTCCATGCTGGAAACCATCTGCATATAAGATTTCAGATAAGTATGAAAAAAATGAACCTAAATGATTTCTCTATTCAGGATTCTTTGACTCTTCTCCCCAGATTTCAGAAGATGGGATAAAGGGACAGGAGGGAAAGCATCACTCTAGAGCCGGTCACAGCAGAAAATGTAGGGGAATGGCTGCCCAAAGAGGCGGAGACCCACGCTACCAACTTAAACTCTGTCCTAACTGTCCCCAGTTCATCCAGCACACTCCGTCAGTTTAACACACAAAATTTAACCTACAATTAAAATGACATCGTTAATCAACCCAAATTAGCATCTTCAGACAATTCTCTCAGAAGAGCTGCTGCCAGTATCTCAGCTGACTGTTAAATACCTATCCTCCCACTACCATCACCAATGACTACTATGGAGCACTTACAGTGTGCCAGTCCTACACACAGTAGCTTAAAACTATGCTTCACAATCTTTCCCACACCCTGAGACAGAGGTACCATCATCTCCGTGTTTCAGGTCAAAAACTGAGATGAAGAGGGCTTAGGTTCTCTCTGAACCACAGACTTTATCACTTGGCTTCTTGCCATTTCCGGTTAAAACACTGAGTTAAAGAATTGATTTTAATCTCTAGTCCGTTACTATACCTGATGAATCTATAGGTTCTCTTTCACTGAAAAGGACAGCCTCCTTAAGATCAGCCCAAGCACACCCTGCTTTCAATGTCCAGATGGGAATGCCAGGGACTACAGAAGACATTTTCTCTGGAAAGCCCTTATATTAAAAGTATCCTGGTGGTTAAGAATCCGCCTGCCAATGCAAGGGACACGGGTTCGAGCCCTGGTCCGGGAAGATCCCACATGCCACAGAGCAACTAAGCCCCTGTGCCACAACTACTGAGCCTGTGCTCTAGAGCCCGCGAGCCACAACTACTAAGCCTGCGTGCCGCAACTACTGAAGCCCGCGCGCCTAGAGCCCGTGCTGCACAACAAGAGAAGCCACCACAATAAGAAGCCCACACACCGCAACCAAGAGTAGCCCCTCAGTCTCTTCAATAAGTGATGCTGGGAAAACCGGATACCTACATGCAAAAGAAGGAAATTAGAACATTCTCTAACACCATACACAAAAATAAACTCAAAATGGATTAAAGACCTAAATGTAAGGCTGGATACTATACAACTCTTAGAGGAAAACGTAGGCATAATACGCTATGACATAAATCACAGCAAGATCTTTTTCGATCCACCTCCTTGAGAAATGGAAATAAAAACAAAAATAAACAAATGGGACCTAATGAAACTTAAAAGCTTTTGCAGAGCAAAGGAAACCATAAACAAAACGAAAAGACAGCCCTCAGAATAGGAGAAAATATTTGCAAATGAAGCAACCGACAAGGGATTAACCTCCAAAATATACAAACAGCTCATGCAGCTCAATATTAAAAAAACAAAAACAAAAAACCCAATGAAAAAATGGGTGGAAGATCTAAATAGACATTTCTCCAAAGAAGACATACAGATGGTTAAAAAGCACATGAAAAGATGCTCAACATCACTAGTTATTAGAGAAATGCAAATCAAAACTATAATGAGGTGTCACCTCACACAGGTCAGAACGACCATCATCAAAAAATCTACAAACAATAAATGCTGGAGAAGGTGTGGGGAAAAGGGAACCCTCTTGCACTGTTGGTGGGAATGTAAACTGATACAGCCACTATGGAGAATAGTATGGAGGTTCCTTAAAAAACTAAATATAGAAGTACCATATGATCCAGCAATCCCACTCCTGGGCATATACCCAGAGAAAACCGTAATTCGAAAAGCTACATGCAACCCAGTGGTAACTGCAGTGGTATTTACAATAGCCAAGACATGGAAGCGACCTAAATGTCCATTGATAGAGGAATGGATAAAGAAGATGTGGTATATATATACAATGAAATATTACTCCACCATAGAAAAGAACAAAATAATGCCATTTGCAGCAACATGGATGGACCTAGAGATTGTTATACTGGGTGAAGTAAGTCAGACAGAGAAAGGCAAATATCATATGATATCGCTTATACATGGAATCTAAAAAAAGGCTACAAATGAACTTATCTACAAAGCCGAAATAGAGTTACAGATGTATAAAATAAACATGGTTTACCGGGCGGTAAGGGAGGGGGGAGGTTTAAATTGGGAGATTGGGATTGACAGATATACACTACTGTATATAAATCAGATAACTAATAAGGACCTACTGTATAGCACAGGGAACTCTACTCAATACTCTGTAATGGCTTATATGGGAAAAGAATCTAAGAGTGGATATAGGTATATGGATAACTGATTCACTTTGCTGTACAGCAGAAACTAATACAACATTGTAAATCAATTATACCCCAATAAATATTTAAAAAAAAAAAAAAAGAGTAGCCCCTGCTCACTGCAACTAGAGAAAGCCCGTGTGCAGCAACGAAGACCCAACACAGCCATAAATAAATAAATAAACACATACATACATACATACATTTTAAAAAAAAAATCTTGCCCTGTGGAGCCTAGATAAGACTTCATATGTTAATACTTTGACATAAGCCAAGTACATGCAGCATAAATCATTTAATAGCATGTGCTCAAAGACAGGCTAGTTGAAAATTCTGAGAACAAAATGGATTTTTTTTTTAAGATTTAAATAGGATTTTTCTTAGAAGACAGTTAAGCAATTTTTTTTGAAATCAAAGATTCTTTTTATTATCTCAAGACACCACAGTAAACTTTCTAGATATAAAACTCCATGCCAGGTTCCTACTATGACTTATTATATAATTTTATCCCCACTTCTAAAATGATAATTTGTCAAAAGACTTTGCTTTATATATCTAAGTTTCCCAAAGTTAAAGGAAGTTTCTTTCTTTAAATGGAAGACTCCATGGTAAAATATATTTGGGAAATACTAGGTTAAACTAAGTCAATTAGGTTTCTTTATTGAAGAAAAATATACATCCCGGAATCTAAAAAGTAACTTCATTTTTCTTACAAGTGAAAAAAAAAACATATTGAAAAAATAAATCTATTTGCTTTACAGCAAACAGTTTATAGGCAGAACCTAAATCTAAATAAAAGTTTTATCTCTATTTCTCATCTCCCAATAATCTGATACCTGTTACCAAGGTCTTGTCAACTTATTTTTTAATGCTTTTGTGAGAGAAAAAAAATAATAACACTTTCAATTTTGAGAACTGCTACTTGAATAACTCATAAAATAAAAAATGATGGACAAATAAAGCTTCTCTTTTCCATAAGAAAAAAAAGCCATATAATTTATTAAAGGTAGCAAGGGGTAGAAATGAGTATTTTAAAATGAATATATAAAATGATAAGTAGATCATGTGTTCAATTTGATCGAGTGTTCAACTTGGCAGAGTTAAGGCGTATCTGTACACATACAGGGAGAATTCTTCATACTTCTGTACATATTTTTCCCATACTAATGGCAACCACAGGTAAATGGGAAAGCCAAACAAGATAATGCTTTTTCTATTTATTACGTACACAGGGTAGAGAGGGAGGCTCACAAATTCAAGTAACTGCCACTGCAAGGTTCGGTAATGTAAATATATTGCCAATTGAGGCTTTATAAAGTTGTAAATGAAAACTGTAGTTCTCCACACCTTTGCTGTTAATGCCACGAGGATTATCTAGTAATGTATGCCCAATGTGTTAATGTGTCCAAAATTTTAAGAATTTTTGAAAGCATATTTGAAAACATAAATATTATCCAAACTAAATCCAAAACAATTTTCATTGATTAGTATTTTTTTTTCTTTTAAAGCTAGGTGCTCTTCAAACTTCTTAGTACAGAGAGTAAAGTCATGGGCTTAACATACAAGCAAAATCTCATTATAGCAAATGTCAAGGCAACTCAAGTTTTTCTGTTCCTGTGAATTCTAGAATGGTAACTAGATTACAGGAAATATTCCTAGTGTACAGGACTCGAGAGAGTGTAAAACTGGGAGTAGGGAGGCAGTAAGAGCTCTCTGGCCTAAAAACTGTAAGTGACACACACCTTTATTTGACCTTCTTCCCCATGCTGTTAGTCTATGTTTGGTTTCAATGCACAGTCTGAAAGTTTAGGTGGGCTACTTGATGGCCTGGTTGGTATGCCTGCCAAATGTGAGAGTAGCTGAAAGGCAACTGCTGCCTAACTGCTGCCTGACAGAGCATAAGGCAAAGAACTAGGTATTGCTAAAGTCCCATCGCTCTGTTTGTTCAGCTCTGTTCTCTGGAGCCTCGTCTAAAAGGCAAACAGTGCGTACACAGATACTTTCAGCACTAGGAAAGAAAGTCTAAAAAAATTACTTATTGTACTGTTTATAATAATAGGATCTGAAAAACACTCTTCTCAAAAGTCAACCTCTAGAAAAGAAATACCTTTGGTTTATAAAATACATCCTTTTACAGCCATTCACTATGTTTCTTTTTCTTTTAATTTAATGCGAGTATAAAATGGAATATGTAAAAGAAAATTCTGTAAACGCTTATAACTTCCAAATCAGACATAATGAAAGCTATGGAACTGTGCCTTAAAATAACTGACATGACATATAAAATCATGCACTGTATTAGTTAAGTAGGAAAAAAAATGAGCCTCATAGTGCTATTAAATTAAAATAAGAAACTTTGCATTATGAAAAGGAAAAAAGCTGGCAACATTTGTTAACAGCTTAAATAAAATTTAAATGATCAAGATTCAAACTACAAAAGCTACCAATACATGAAATAGGTTCTCACACAGGTTCAGAAACATACCCGCCTCCTACAGAACCTATGAGGTGATCCTCCCTTAGCAATGAAGTTTATACAAAAAAATAAAAAGAGAAAATCATCCCAAAACTTTAACTATTCATTGTTCCATACAACATATTTAATAAAACAAATTTATAGTAATTAAAAGTGATGTATTCACATACTGAACAACCACATTATCTATGCTAATCTGTAGAAATATGGAATCTGCATTTCTTAACCCCAAGGACATTGGCCAGTGATAAAAATCATCTCAGAAAATAAATATATTAATATACTAAAGAATTATTTTTAATATAACATCAATAAAATTTTTTCTAGAAAATTATCTATTTTCTTTTACATACTATAACTTTAATGTAAAATCAGAAAGGATTTCATCATTCAGTGGGTATTTCCAAATAGATTATTTCTAATATAATATTGGAAGACAAAACAAAAATATTTATAGAATTATTCCAAATTAAAAGTAATTATTCATAAATGAATTACTCTGATACCTTAAATATATTTTGGATTGAAATTACAGTATTATAGATACATGACCAAAACTAGTTTATAAAAATAAGTTTATAAAATAAACTTATTATAAAATTATAAAAATAAGTTATAAGTACATGGAAGCATGATAATAAAATCATATTAACAGTGTAAGAATAAAGAATGTTGAGTGACTCTTACCCTCTGTTCCAATGCTGACTGAGTCTGCTGTCTTAATAGAGCTTTAAAGGGCCCCCCTTCTTTTCCAGCACTACCACTTCCCATTCCTACAGAACATCAGTACATAAATAACAACCAAAAAACAACTAGAGAAACAGACAGTTTAATTGCATTCATCTTCATAAATATCATGAGTCAAAATCTGTTAAAAACAATCCAAACATTTAAAGTATTTGTGATGGCAACTAAGCACATATTTTACTTTTTTTATTCACAAAGTTTTCTTTAGAAGCAAGATGCCAAAGTCCTACTGATCACAGCAAGCTTTGGACTTAATTTGTTCTAAAAATCATTTATAAAATTATATTAAGGTGATAAATTTTTATGTAATATTCAATTTTAAAAGTTGAACCTTCTAATAAAAAATAATCAATATAATACCAATTTTTTATACCATGCTAACAATTTAAGAGTACTAAAAGAAATAAGAGAAAATTAAATGTTTGTTTAAAAGTAAATATATAGAGAGAAAAAGCACTAATTGGGCTTATCTAAAATATTCTAAAATTCTCTAAAGAGCATGAATAATTTCAGGCAATTCTGAAATATAGTCACATCTATTTTCTGATAATTTCCCATTCCTAAACATAACATTCATGACAAAACAGTATTAATAGTCATATCATAGTTTTCAACACTCGTTGGCAAAAATTAACATAAAGAGTTTTTTTTAAAAACCAGAGGCATATAATAGACACCTCACAAATGTACACAGTCATGGATGAAAGAATTACATTTCCCAAGCTCTTAGATGTATTTTTTTAAAGGCTTAATTTTAAATTTCTTTCCCTATCTTAGTTTATTCTTTTGATAATACTAATAGACCAATTATGGTCAAAGAATTATAGAAAGCAGGGGACAGGTGAGAAGCCAGTACTCTACAAACTAGAGTTTATAGTTTAGTCCCACCTTTTAAAACTGAAGATACATGCAGGCAGATTTACTACGTACGATGACTTAAAAAAGGAACTAATTTACTTTTACATTTTTAGCTGTTCTTGGATAAGGAAACAAAAGTTAGCATGTGTATAGTCCCATTCTGTTGTTTAAAAATAAAAAAGAAATGTATTTTTCTTGTAGTAACCTAAATGTAATTTTTAGAGACTATACAATACTAAACACAGAAATGAAACTAAGATTTTTATATGAAGCATATTGAAAGCCATAAAATAAAACGTAATTTTGTAGAGATAAATGAAATATCAGAAAATAGAGCAGAATAACTTGAAAATTAATGCAATGGACAGAAAAAAAAATGGATAATGAAAGAATATCACCAAAATGAGACTTAAACTGATTCAAACAGAATAATTTACTAATGTAACCATATGGTTTAGCAACATGATGGTATAGGTCCAACATGAATGGAGTTGGTATGAAGGGAAAGAAAGTAAAGCATCTAAAACAGAAACTCTGGTAATGAGAATCTAAAAATTATTGGAAATATGCAGATCTACGTGTCCTTAGACATAATTTTTAATACATAAAATTCTTTTAGCAGAATATTCATAATTATCCATCAAGTAATCCTCAATCATGTCCTCATAATAATGCTAACCATTAAACTCTGTCTGCCAATAAGAAAAATAAGAGTACATCCTGTGTAAAATACCCAATACTTCTATATGGTATGAAATAATTTTTTTCAAAGATGATTTAAAATAAAGGGATTAAAAAGCTGACATAATATGATCCTACCAGAAGCAGCCAGGAACAGCTCTTCACTGAAAGAAACACTTTTCCTCAGAACTGGGCTGACAAGGCTAGAAGGATGAGGGGGAAGGCTAGATTCCGAGAGGAGAAGACAGGACTTTTTAAGATGAAGGGAACCACAAGAGAGAGAGGGGGAGCTGGGACACAGGTAAATCCTAGCCCCCTGTGGGTAAGGTGCTGTGGAGGAAAGTAGCAGAGAAAAGTTGCAGATTCAGAAGATGACCAGAAAATGCAGGATAAGGAAAGCAATGATGAAGCAAAACATAACAGTAGAAATGAACTGTAAAATGCATACACAAATCAAGTAAGCATATGAAGTCATCAGCAAGATCATCTATTCAACATAATATAAATAAAAGGCAGAGTCTAAAATTCAACAAAACCTTTACAAACTCTGCACTCATTAAAAATTTTTAAATCACTAACATAGGATTTTATGCCATTCTAATTACTTTTAGCTGACTTTCCTGCCATTTTTTGCTTAAGGCTGTGTAAAGCTAAAATGTGCCACATTTTTTAAAGCCAGAAATTTGTTGTCTCAAATATAAAAACTTATTCAAAGTGGTAAAAGTATAGTTCTTCAAATGTTATTAACTAAAACATACCACGTATGAGTATTTTAATTGAATACCCATCAAAACAAATCAACACTTGCTGCCACATTAGGCAGATAGTCACCATTAAGTTTAAATAAATAAAATATTAACTTCTTTCTGTCCATCTTTGAGATGTACATTAATGATTTTCTTTTTCCTCTAAAATTTTAAATACGCAAATGCTATCACAGTACTGTTTATATTTACAAAGATTTGAGTACCTAAGAGCCAAAGAAATACCCTCTGGATCACAAAAAACATACATGGCAAAAAGCCTGACCAAAAAAAGTAAAAACTGGCTTAGTCAGGTGTCACATCAATATCCTAACACTAGAATTCTAAAATTCCACTCCTACTAGTTGAATACTTGCAAAAAAAATGAAAATAAAACCTTGTAAAATGTCAAAAATTAGACTCTATAAAAACATTTAAATCAATATGAAATTTTTTAAAAACCCATCTGAAGACCCACCTGAAGGTGGGTGATAGCTTTAACTACAAACAGAAAAACAACTTTCTCAGTCTAAGTTTTATTAACTTTATTCTATTTTTTTTGGCTCTCCAATTTACCTATAATAAATCAATCATAAACAACTAATCTATCATGAAATACATGCTGAACTACAGCTCTAGGAACTTTAGAACATTCATAATTTTGCCACTTTAAATCTCCATGAGAAATAACAATGCTCCTCAGGAGTATTCAAAGATATTTTTGGGACCCATGATAAGGCCAAACAACTAAAAATTGTTAATATCCTATAAATATGCCATTGAGGTATTGAATAGTTATAGTAAAACAAAATGATTAATTTAGCGACAGCTTATAAATGTAGAAATACATGAGAATAATAGCTCTTTTGTAAGTTAATTTTTAAAAACTAAAAATTTGGAGCTAGAAAATAAAATGCAAAAAAGTTTTCATTGATAGTACAATTGATTGCCTACTAGAAAGCTAAGGGAAGAGAAGTCTCTTTCAGTTAATTTATTACTTGACAATCTTCTTTAGACTTGGCTTTTCTGGTGAATGAAAAAAAAGAAACAGAAAGACCAAGGAAATACTTTCAAAAATGTGTCTGTAGTATGGCAAAAAAAAGGAAGGTAAGAAATACTGAAAAGTGACCTGGAATACACAAATAAACAACCAGTGGACAAAGCCTCAAAAATATGTTTAAGAAAACTTACTCTTCAAATGCTATCCTAGGTCTTTATTGTTTTCATTGTTATGAATTTCAAGGCCAGAACCTCAGCCTTTACTTAAAAACAAAACAGAAAACCCACTTCACTACAATTTCAATGGTTCAGTTTTTATGACACAAATATGGTGAAGATGCCATATTCCAAAGCATCCATTACTATCAAATATCACATTATTTTAAGTTGTTATTTATAATTATACATGTAAAAATAAAGCAATTATTTTCAAAGAATTAGGTGTTAATAATTATCTTCTTTACATTTTGTGACTACATTTATAAAAATAGATATTATATCTACAGGATTTTTTAAAATGCCCTTTACTTTGGAAGTAGTGCTGGTTCTTTTCATTGTTTTCGTAAAATCTGGGGTCATTTTCTAAATCTCTTGTCTAACACAAAAATAAAGTTATTAAAGATGATAAATTAAAAATAATGCAAATAAACTAGGCAAAATGTTTTCATCAATCTGGCAAGGAAACTCCGAGACAAAAATGCTATTTGCAAAAACTGCAAACTATTAACTTTTAAATGTTTTATTTATTTTTTATTTTTCTTAAGAATAATAATTCAATGACTTAAATAAGCTAATTCTATTTTAAGGAGTAAGAAACTAATTTGATTTTTTTAATCAGTTTTTATCATATAACATATTCACAAAAACTCAGAGATTAACAAAATACAAATAGGAGAGGGAAAAATTATAAATTTCATACCCTGGCAAATATGCAAGAATAAGTAAAGCAAAAATGCTATTTTCTAACCTAGAGAGTAAGACTAGCAAAACCAAATATTTTAAATAATAAGCTAATAAATAAGATATATGTACTCCAAAATAACCAAATCAGTTGTAAGATTTTTTTCTTAATAAAATCTTAGAATTAAATTCCAAAATAGAAACAATGAATTCAAAAATGCTTATACTGCATGAGGAATTGGATTGCAAGCTACTAGTGTTACTTTCTATCCAAATGCTTTACGATGTTATTCCTCTTAATTTGAGCATGAAATGGAAAATGACTACATGCAAAAATAAATTCTGGCCTTCTTATCTACGCTATGATTAAATCAACAAAATGTCACTCTCTGAACAAGGTAACTTCTGAACTACACAAAATTTTCACATTTTAATTGTAGTAACTGAAAATGATCAGTATTCACATTATCTTTTAACTTAAATGCCAAAAACAGGAAGAAAGGCTTGGATGGAAAGCTAATAAGGAACATAAACAAATTTGGAAAAAAAAGAGAAAAAGTGAGTGGAAGTGCCTTACCAGTTTTGGGTGTCAAACTCAAATCTGTATCAGAAGAAGAGGACTGTCGACTGTAGGACTTGGAAGGTGAAAAGGAATAAGTTTGGTTTTTCAGAGGGGTTGAGGGTCCTGATGAGTGAGTATTGGGATTGGGATCTTCATTGAAGGGAATCCTGCCAGAAGAAGGTGGAGAAATATTAAGTAATCATGTGCCAAAGGACTTGACAGAGGCAGCATGATCTAAACACCAGGAAAATATTGGGGCAGGGCCAGCAGTCATTTCTTAAGTGTGGAGCTGGGTATGAGGCCAAAGACATCCAATTGCTGTTTAACCATTCATCATTCTCCAGATAAGTAATTATCTGCCTTGAAACAGTTAATAAGCCAAGTAAAAAAGCAAAACAGCATGAAATGGCAGACTAAGGGGGTAAAAAAACATTAAAAGAAGAAATAAACAAAAAGAATAAATACATGAATAAAAATATTTTCACACAAACAATGCTTTTTTAAGTTACGAAAGAAAAAATGATGACTGCAAATGGTGTGTGTAAATATTCACAATATTTTTTATATTTGCACACACAGATATCTTGAAAAGAAAAACATGTTTCCTTATCCTATAGCATCAAGAGTGCCACAGCTAAAAACACAGCAGAGTGGAAAATGAATATAGGCTACACAGAAACATTGCATTTTATGCAGAAGAGTCGCTTACCTGTTTTCCAACAGCTCTCTTCCACAGAATGAAACAGACCCTACTGTTACAAGTTTTGTATATAAAGAAAATAAGCAAATCAGAAGCTTTGGCAGCTATTTCACTTAGAGTCCAATCATCAATTTTATTTCTAACCAAATGCAGAAATAATGGAAAAATACATACTGGAGGATTCTCCTAAAAACTCACAGTATACATATACAAGATAGGGTTCTTAGAGGATCTATGGAAGAGACTTTGGAAGCTGGAAGAACACTTTCACTTCCATGTAGTTAGAGCCTCTGCGGCGGCTAAATACAGGATTTCTTCAGTGCCACTGGACTACGAGTGAGAAAAGGAGGAAGCAAAGACTTGTGGTACCTGCCTACGCTACCTGCCTGCCTGCCCTCTGCAGCCACTCTGCCCGTGGCCTGCTTCCCCAGCTCTGGAGTCTGAGCAGTCTCGTACCAGTATAGATGAGAGTGGGAACAGACACAGAGAAGTTCTGAGTAAGTCGTGAGCCAGTAGCAGTGTGAATTGGGCTGTTGTGAGTCGAGCGGCATCCATGGCTTGGAGGATGAACCAGCGGAGACCTGAGGGAATTTGTGGTCAAAGTGGAAGAAAAGAAAACAATACATACAAGAGATAGCAAAGTTATGTTAAAATAATTTCAAAGGAGCTTGTAGTTAGGGGACAGGAATTATTTTTTAATCCCTAGCATGCACAAAACAAGTTGAGATAAAAAAGAAGAGCTAAATATTAATTTGTTAAGAAATAGTTACAAAGAATCAGGTTAATAAATTAGGAATGTGAATAAGAAAAATAGCAAGCAGAACTGCCAGTGGAATTAAATAAGAAAAAGATTAAAATTTGGATTTTCAGTTACTTTAAAATGTTTGCTATTATTTTGATCACCACAGAGCTTACTAAACAATATTTCAGGAAGAAAACACACATAAAAATGAAAAGCCAAATATGATGTTCTTATACTACTTTGAAACTGAGATATGAATAACTGCTGATATATTTTTCTACAAAGGAGGTTTAACTAACAGAACTGTTTCTGTCTAGCATATCAAGACAGAGTTATATAAGAATATGAAAATGACAGCATAAAGAGAAATGAGTGAATTGAATTAATATAAGTAGATCCAATTATTCCATATTTCAGCACCCCAAGTACATAGCTTAAAACCAGGTTACACTGGGAACAAAACAAAGCAAAGGGACACCGCTTTAAAAAAAAAAACATTAAGCAATATAATCACTTTTGTGTAGCTTTCAAACAGAATAGATTATTAAACTTAAACAGAATTTAGTTAAACTACATTCTAAACTGAAATTGTGTAAGATATCAACTAACATCCTGCAATAGATCACATCTATGCACATGTAAAGGATACTTAGACCAGATACACTTAGACCAGAAACATACATCTATGGCACTTAAATTTTCACAAAGAAATTTAGCTGAAAGAGCATAGTTATAGTGGATGGGGAAAAAAAGGTATATTATATAATTAAGAATCCTAGACTTCATATTAGCAACTATTTCATCGTGCAATGCCTTCCCTTATGCACAATGAGGGGAAATGAATTAAGTCACTACACTCTGAAAAACTATCATACTCCCATTTTTTAGAATTCAAATTAAAAGTAATCGAGAGCCCAACTTTTCCTGGCCTTTTTTCCTTTTCCGCTGCCCAGTGAACATTCCCAATAATCACAATTTACCAAGATCCAAACATGAGTTTTCGTTAACTGGCAATAATGGTCTTTTAAAGACCATCTACTTTCTGAAAATATCACTGCTTTTACTATGGGACAAATGTTTCTGCTTTTGTTGCTAATTTAATTTTTTAAAGTGTTTAACTGGTAAAAATCAAATATCTCACTGGTGACTAATTTCTACACAAGCAACTGGGTGAGGTTTTATTTTTGTTTTTTCTTTCTCTGTTGAAGTAAGTGGCTAATGGAGTTAAAAAGTCTAAGAATCGGTGCCGTACAGAGGAGAAACTATGACTAATGTCTCCTAGAAAGTACTTTTTTTTTTAATTAGAGAATCAATAAACCATATTTAAATGCACTTTCTACCATCAAGATAGTTCAGCTAGGAAACACCAAAGAGCTTTATACTCCATAATACACTAAATATCTAAAAGGAAAACACAAACTGATGGAGCAGAACACACCATTAATAAAAGTAAAATAAAATGAACATCATTAAGTGTTCAAATTATGACATCAAATTAAAATCCAAGTACAATGGAGAGAGCATCACCATAATGTATTCTTGGAGTCCTAATTCTTATCAATCTCCTTGCATGAAAGGTTGCCTTACAAGAATACCCTAGTGGTATTTCTAACATTAAATCTATTCAGGCAGGAACATAATCCAAACTACCTTATCAAATCCCTGTCTAGAATCAACAATGTTAAAATTAAAAACCAAAATAATTATAATCAGGTGACTCATAAAACAATTTTAAACTAGTGCCCAAATTGATTCATTAACAAAAATACAAAGAAGCTGGTTGAAATAAAGCAGCCTGAGGTATTGTTTTTGTTTTTTTAAATAACATGACTTATGCAGTAATATGCCATTAGGAAATCTTAATGAAGCCACTTAAATTCTTCATGGTGTGAATAGCTGACAACTTAAGGCAAATGGCTACAACAAAATTAGAAAAAGAAAACTTAGACAAGCTCAGATTTACATTAATGGAGCTCTTCCTGAATGAAGGCGAAATGTATTCCCCTACCATCCATATGTCACTTTAAGGCACCAACAGGTACTGCAGCTTTCTTTCCACTAAGTAATTCAGTGAAAAGAGGAAAACTTCAGACATCACAATTGCAAAGGCCAGGCCCCTTCAGGCAGTACAGATAAAGCTGGAGGGTGGCAGAAGGAAGAGGGACCCAGCTCTTTACTTAAATTTGCTACGGAAAGAGAAAAAAAAACTAAATCCCTCAAAAAGTTATACCTGCAATCTGACTTTACCTGTAGCAGAAGGCAGTTCATACCTTTTTTAAGACAGATTTTAAATGGAAGATAAAGCAAATTCACTCAATAAATCATTTAAAACATTTCACTTATCAATATATTTCCAAATAAAATTAGGCAATATATGTAATACTGTGCTCCCTCTTGTGACTAAAATTTAACCCAAATAACTAAAGGCCAGCAGAAAGGAACAATTAAACAAAAAGAAAAAGTTGATAAAGAATCTCACTTTTACATAGACTGTTTGAAAAAAAAAATTGTGATTGCTTTCTAGGCAACCTCTCTTGACTACTGCTGAACTGGGAAACATTTTGGGTTTTCTGACTACAGAACTCTGACCTCCTGATGATAAAAGACAGAGGCACACTATATACAGTACAGGCCAAAATCCATCCTGCCATCTGTTTCGAAAATAATTAAGTTTCATTGGAACAAAGACACACTCATTTATTTGCATACTATTGACGGCTGCTTTCATGCAACATCTGCAGACCTGAGTCCTTGCTATTTCCATTCCGGTAATTTACCAAAGAAGTTTGTTGACCCTTGATCTAGAAAAATCTCTAGAGCAATGGTTCTCAATGGAAGTACCATCGGCATTTAGTATGGAACAAGTCTTTGTTGTACAGAGTTGTCCCTAGCTGTGCGGGACAGTCAGCATTTCTGGTCCCCAATAGAATCATCCTGCTCACCCCAAGCATTACGACAGAAAATTTTCATTTCAAGCATTCTTTGCTGATAGCACCACCAACACCATGTTGAGAATCTCTGCCTTAGGCACAAATGATGACACATTAGCCAAATGGAGCCAACAGAAATGTTCTGTTGGATCACAAATACTTTTTTAAAAAAATGTAAGAGTTTAAATTCCTTTAGATCAAGATTGGCAAACTCCTTTTTTTTTTTTGGTAAACAAACATAAAAACTATATGGCCAGTGCTTGAAATATTAACTATCTGGCCTTTTACAGAAAAAGTCTGCCAACATCTGCTTTATGCAGTACCCAGCATTCTCCATTATACCCAATTATTTTATTTATATAAACTGCTTGGCCTCTGTAGACACTGGAGTTTGAGACCCCTGCACAGGTCAATCTTTCCTGCTTTCTATACTATGTTGCTAATAATAGGCATAATTGGAATATCAGATATAGGGTATTAAGCATTCCCCAGACAACAAGTAAAATTCTTCAGAATGCATAAGCTTTAGATATACAGTGTCTAAAGATGTGGAACAAGTTTAATTTTACATTACTTAATTTGAATTTCATGACAGTATAAATAAAATATTAGGAATATCTAAATAGTTTTAAGCTTCAAATTTTGATAGTCATCTCTGATAAGAAAACTGCTGCAGGAAAAAATGTATGCTGAACAACTCTACTAAAATGTTTCAAATCAGGGCTTCCCTGGTGGCGCAGTGGTTGAGAGTCCGCCTGCCGATGCAGGGGACACGGGTTCGTGCCCTGGTCTGGGAAGATCCCACATGCCATGGAGCGACTGGGCCCATGAGCCATGGCCGCTGAGCCTGCGCGTCCGGAGCCTGTGCTCCACAGCGGGAGAGGCCACAACAGTGAGAGGCCCGCGTAACGCAAAAAAAAAAAAAAAAAAATTTTTCAAATCAAATGAAAATATGTAGACAAAAGATAAAAAGCTCCATAAGAACAATTCATCGATTCATACTTACTCCTTCATTTCTTTGGACGGGGAATTACATGCAGGAAGGAATGCTGCTGGGCTACTTAATTTATCCAGTGTACACGCTGTTCCTATGGCTCGTACCACTAACCCAGATTCGCCTTCCAGATCAAAGCACTGTAAGTACCCGACAACTGCATTTCCTCTCATTTCAAGTACTTTCAAGCCAATCTTCCTCTGCAGTTCACCTACGAAAAAAGGAAGAAAACACAGTCGGCCTCTTATCTGCATGTTGCATAATACAAAGCTGGACATGGTGGCAATAGGAAAGAGTCCAGAAAATCATAGATTATTTAATATATTAAGTGTAACATTATGTTAAATATAACATTTGTATGTATTTATAAATATTAAATACAATTAACATGTTAATATAAGTATAAATATATTTCTATTTTCTATTTAAATACATAAATTTATTATAAACGTAACATTTGTACTTATTAAATATAACATATTTATTATCTGATATATCTGTGTGAGAGTGTGTGTGTGTATGTATGCATGCGCGAGTGTATATATACACTCACGCATATGTACATAATAAATACAAACTTTAGATGGAAATAAGTTCTTCAAAGGAAAATAAAGAAAAGTAATGGGGTAAGAGTGGCGGGGGAGTAGGGGTAAAAGGAGGTACAAGTTGTCAGAGAAGGACTATGAAAAGGCAACATTTAAACAAAACACCTTAGAGAGATTACCTAAGCTCTGACAACAAATAAACACTCCAAGGAGGAAAAGTAGAACTCAGTTTCCTACCTCCTTGCTCAGGGCATTTTCTACCATGCCACTTCATAAGCCCAATTTCCTTTTACTACCTAGTTAAGAAGTAACTATAAGCTTCTGATTCAGATTTCGTCTTGTTATAAGATGGCAATGCACATGTGAGGACGGGGCCAGGGATAGGGAATCAGTCAGTTAACAATTCATAGTCTTCATTGTAAAGTTTTAGTAGCATGTCAAAAGGAAGTGAAGAATTTTGGTGGATTAAGTCAATCAGCCATGAAGTTTTTTGTTTTTTTTTTTTTAATACCTGACATTAAAGAAATGAGTCTCTGTCTGGCCTCGTTTGATGCCCTTGGTGTGCGAATTCGATCAATCCATTGATATTCTGGGTCTTCGTTGACCACAAGTTCTTCTACAAATCCATGAATTATTACAGCTCTATAGCACTTTGGAATAGATGTCGCTGTTAAAAAAAATTATCTATTATGCTTCTCTTTATCACAAGGCTAAATTTAACTTTTTAAAAATGTACAACTAAGTTCTTACCTTTTGGATACATAGTACAAGAACATCTTTTACTGTGATAACCTCAATGCAATCATAATAATACTTTCAATCAAACAGTCTTCTAAGTTCCATTTTATTCTTAGACATAATCATTTTCATTCATGAGGCCTCTTGCCTTTCTCAAGTAAGCATAGTAAGATATAAACTGTATTTTTATAATTTAGAAAACAGCTACAGACCATCTTAAATAGCATTCAATACGAAGTGTAAAAAAGTCAAAATTAAAGTGAGCTAGCTGATATTATATAAAAAATCAGAAAGCAGATAATGAATACCAAAACACTCTAATCATTGGAAGCCCTTTGAAAAAGTTCTGCACAGCACATACTGCAGCCTTAAAAACCAAGCCATTACCTTTCTGACATAATCTGAGAAGTCATACAGGCCTGTAGTTTCTAATAATCCATGGTTATAAGGCCAATTGGTTCAGTAGTCACTATACTACTTAATAGACTCATTCAATACATAGAACAACAAACGTCACTGGATTTATTAAAAACGGGAGAATGTGAGAACATCTATACCAAACTATATGCATGCCTTGAAACTAACTCCACTACATAGGAGTTTTCAACCCTATTAGTCCAGGCTGGCTATGAATTGCCCAGATCTGTTTAATTGTGACCCATATTTCATGGCATCCGCAGGGCTCCATACCTGTAGATGCTTATGTCACTATGGATAGTACCACAGTGCCACCTCTAGTGCTCCACTCCTATCTTTTAGCATCCTATACCAGCATAAAATGCCACTGGCTTTTTCTTTTTTTGACAGTTACTCAAAGCTTAATTATAGTCAGATCTTTTACACATTTGACAAAAGTAATTTGTTCTAACTTTTGAAAGAAATGTAATGGGCAATAAAATATTAACCTTTATAAAGTAAGACAAATACGTGAAAATTATTTTAACCTTTGTTGACCTACTGGTACAAGAGTAAAATCTACGTTAGATGATTAGCTTGCAATCTTCTCTATAAATTAGTGTCCAGTAATTATGCTTTTTAAATAATTCTGCTTTTTAAAGCCATTTGAGACTTCTGCAAGATATACACGTCCATCCACCACAAATGGCTCCACGTCTGTATGGCCCGGTTTCGAAGAGCCCATTTGAATTAAGTCTGAATATGCCACACGTGTAGCCTCATCAAATTTGTTTCCCAAATGTAGACATTAATGGGATTTGTTTTCATTGGCTGAGAAAGTGTGACAAGTCCTCTCCCCCTATGTTGTCGCTAACCTCTGACAACCTGCTGACATCAAAGTAGCATAGGCTACTGTTCAGATACAGTGTATCATCTGTTTCATATCACAATGTTTCATATTATGCAGACACATACCTAGTTTAACAATGCAGTGATTTTCTTTCAACATGTGGCCTAAATGAATTGTGGACTCTTTCTGTATAGGTCCGTTTGGGTTTATTCCCTTAATTGTTGGGTTTTGAGCTAGGACTGTAGCAAATGCACAGTTCACCTACAAATGCACACTTTGCATTCCCATATCTAATTTCTCTAAGGATGAATTAAATTGTTGCATTGCAGGAAAAAACATTCCACCTTTATTTTCAATCTTGTTTCCAGTCATTCTTAAGTATTTCAGAGCTGTAATCTTATGTAGTGCTTTAACAATTAATTCTCCACCTCAGACTCAATATCAGTAAACATAAGGTTTATGTAAATATTGTCTCATTAATATATGGATTCTTCTTTAAAAATTCTGAAAAAGATCCAAAAATCTTCACCTGTTACCCTTTCTACTGGAGTTAAGTGACTGTAACCAGCAATGATTAATGTGATTCCTTCTAATCACACTCTTGTGGGCAGAGGCTGGCACAGAGACTAGAGAAGGGGGGATGTGGGGAACAGCCAGAGGCAGCCTCCCTGTGGGCCACAGTGTCACTGTCATGATGACCGCATGCACACACATGCCCCACTGGATTTTTCTAAAAAAACTTTCTATGAACTTGTGAAAAATTAGATATCATTTACTTTAAAATCAGATAAACAGTTCCCAGAGCTACAGTAATTACTTCTGAAAAATTCACAATTTTCTCTCTGGCATTAAGACCAAGGTATAATACGTTTTCCATTAGACTTCTGAAACATTAATGTGATTTCTCATATTTAACAATTATTAAATTTCCTGTCAAATAAGTAATAAAATATATTTACTTACTGCAAAAGAATTTGACTCCACATGACGACTGCCTAAATCGATTTAAATCATTGAAGAGGTCTACTTTGACAACTACATTGATTTCCCCACGGATACCTATAATTTCAAAAGGAAAAACAAGTTTCTACCTTAAGAAAATAAAGTATAATTAAATAATCAGGCAAATAATGATTTAAAAATAATGTATCAATCATAACAGCAATGCTAACTTTGTTTCCTAATTATTTTCATTCTATAGATGCTCTAATTTATTTAAGTAAATCCTGTTCTCCAATTTATTTTACCATTTTAAACATCAATGAATAATATAGAATATGAATGTTACAATACACATAAATCTCATCAAACATCTTATCTTCTTATAATAAACTACTACCAATGGAATTGCCAGGTCAAAAATGTAAAATAGACAGAAAAATGCAAGACTGTAGGCAGGAGCATCTGCCAGTTCCTTATGCCCATAATGGTCCCTCTGCCATTTTAAAGAGATGACATATTTTTAGGCTAGTGGCTCTCAGACTTTTTGATTGCAGGACCCTTCTACAATCTCAAAAATTACTGAAGATCTCAAAGAATCTTTGTCTATGCGGGTCAAAACCTTCAATATTTACCATATTATAAATTTAAATTGACAATTTAGACAAATATTTACTTATTACTTCATTTAAAGTAGCAGTAAATCGATTTATGTCAAAATAAACACTTTTATAAAAATAACTATTTTGAAAAACAAAAGAAATTTTAGTGATAAGAGTGGCATTACATTACATTTTTGCCAATCTCTACAGTGTGTAGCTTAATGAAATAGTTAGATTCTAATTTCTGCTCTACATTCAATGTGTGGTAACATCATACATCATAAAACCTCTGAAAACTCCATTGTACAACTTGTAAGAAAGTGAGACTAAAAATGGCAAATGTCATATAAGTATTATCCTGAAAACAGTTCTCATCTCACTTCACAGAGCCTGTGAAAGTATCTCATGGACCCACAGATGTCCCCAGGCCATACTTTGAGAACTTTGCTTTAGGCAACAAAAAGCCTTTGAAGAATTTTTTTTTCCTTTCAAGAATTTTTAAGTAGAAAAGTTTCAAGATTATTCATTTTAAAATGTGTTTTAGAAACAGAGTAGCAATATTAGATGATTTTCAAATGATACATCTGCTTACTATATTGTACAAATTTAGCAGGCATTATTTCAAATTATGGTCAGAAAAGTTACAATTCTACCAACAATACAGACTACCACATGTCTATTAAAAGAGAAGACATCTTTTGAAGATATGTATTTTAAAAATACCAGGCACGGGGCTTCCCTGGTGGCGCAGTGGTTGGGAGTCCGCCTGCCGATGCAGGGGACGCGGGTTCATGCCCTGGTCTGGGAAGATCCCACATGCCACGGAGCAGCTGGGCCCGTGAGCAATGGCCGCTGAGCCTGCGCGTCCGGAGCCTGTGCTCCGCAACGGGAGAGTCCACAACAGTGAGAGGCCCGCGTACCGCGCAAAAAAAAAAAAAAAAATACCAGGCACAACACAAAAGTCTTTAAGGATAAATTAAAAGACTGTGACTTATTTTCTTAAAATGTGTTGCTTACCATGAATGGTATCATAAATTGGAAACCATCCTGAGATGACTGTTGCAGCCTCACTGTAGAGTAAAGGATCAATGTCAATGTACACTTTACCAATGGCATCATTTGCACTATATGTATCATGGTCAAGAACTGTGATCTGGAGAGGTTCATCTTGTAAATCTTCATCATCCACCTAAAAAAGTATATCTTAAAAATTAAATCTTATAATTTAAAAATCTTCATTACCATAAATGTATACATATACCACATGTAAAAGATTACTTATTTCCAGGAAAAGAAATCTTATAGATTTATCTCTAAGCAAAGGTAGAGAGATAAGTCATTAGGGAAATGCAAATCAAAACCAATTAGATAACACCTCACATCTACATTCTTTGTATTAAACTGGTCATCAAGTCTGGTGAAGTCAACCTCCGAAACCTAAATACCTTCTTCAGGCGGTTTAAATATGAGACAGTTCAAAGTAAAAGAATGCAGATGGTCCTTAGCCATAGGAAATCAAACTCACCTCATTCATAATAAAAATACACATTAAAATTATACTGTGAATACCACTTCAGACCTACTAGGATGGCTTACATTTTAAAAATAAAATAAAATAACAAGTATTGACAAGGATATGGAAAAACCAAAACTCTCACACATGCTGGTAGGAATGTAAGATGATGCAACCACTGTGGAAAAGTTTGGCAGTTCCTTAAAAAGCTTAACACAGAAATTACTGTGTGACTCAGCCATTCCACTTCTAGGTATAGACCCAAAAGAACTGAAAACAGGGAGTCAAACAGATACTGGTACACCAAAGTTCACTGCAGCATTATTCACCATAGCCAAAAGGCAGAAACAAACCCAAGTGTGCATCAACAGATAGAGGATAAACAAAATATGGTATATTCATACAATGGACTATCATTCAGCCATAAAAAGGAATGAAATTCTGATACATGCTAAACATGGATGAACCTTGAAAACATTATGCTAAGTGAAAGACACCATACACAAGAGGACAAATACTTATGATTCTACTTATATGAAATGCTTATATAGGCAAATTCAGAGTCAGAAAGTAGATTAGAGGTTACGAGGGGCTGGAGAGAGGAGGGCATGGGGAGTCATTGCTGAATGAGTATTTTCTCTTTGGAGGGATGAAAAAATTTTGGAAATAGTGGTGATGGTTGCACAACATTGTATGTATGTGAATGCAATTAATGCTACTGTATTGTACACTTAAAAATGGCTAAAATGGCAATATTTATGATACGTATTTTTATCACAATTCAAAAAGATGTTTAATCTGTACATTATTCTTAAGTGATTTTTGGTATATGCTAAAATCCAGAGAAAATTACTATATAATAATATAATACCTTTTTAATCTGGGTTCTCCTATTCATATATGATATTTTCTGAACTGTAACATAATTTTTTGAAAACTCAATATTCTTAGGAAATATTTTTATGGTGTAGGAAAACTACTATACCTGAAATAAAACGTAGTCCAATCATTCCTGCGAAAAAAGGGTCACCTCAAAAATGCACACGCAAAAATGCTGACATTTAAAAACTTACCTCAAATTTAAACCATTCTGAGTTCCACTGAGGGTTGAGGGACTTGAGATACACATCTGTTTTAAAGGTGGTATTACCAAATTTTACCTAAAAACAAGTAAGAACAGTTCAAATAAAAATATTAAAAATGTGAATAAAATTAAAATTTAACATCAGCTAAACAATTGGAGGATTAACCATGAAGGGGATAAAAGACAACTATCCCCTGAGACAAAAGGCAAGAAAGTATGGATGGGTCCAGGCAAGTTTATAAACTAAACCTGGAACAAGGGATCACCCACTGTTCTGCCTGACTAGCTCTACAGGGAAATTAAAATCAGACCATTATGTCAGTGTGGAGAAAGTAATCACATGGCCTTCACTAAACAGGAGCTCAGACAAAAGGGGAAAGTCTTAAGGGTGGAGGACCAGCAAAATACAATCAGAAGGTAGAAAGGACAAATGACTCTTACCATCTCATCAAGGGAATCCAGAACTACAGCCCATTATTATAAGAACTTAGTAACATATCCTCATATTTTCTCACTTCCTCAGTATTTGTTACTTTTTAAATTCTTACCTGTGCATACACAGTGATCAGCAATAAACTATGGTCATTAAGGGTTTTATGTTTCTATCTTCAGGGACAATAAAAGGGGTTGGAATGGGGAGACTACCCTGTTTCATAGCCAGTCTTGGCAGATACTGAATCAAAATGCAAAAGTAAATAAGAAGAAAAGGAAGAAGGCAGAAAGGAGGCTAAATCCCTGGGACTTGCTTCTAAGAAAGGATGGAGATTGTGAAACCTCAGCCTGGACTTGAGAAGTGGTCAGGAAGCTTAAGAGCAAAACAGTTAAGAAACTACTCCCTAGATTGTTTCACCTTTCCTAAACTTGATCTCTCTAAGCTCTTCCCTAATTCTATCAGTTATCACCATTAAGTATCTTTTCTAACCTCAAAATTCATTAAAGGTTTATCCCGATACCCAGTAAAGAGTTTTGCATGTTGTAGATACTTAGGAAATGCTGGTTTAATCAGATAATCTATGAAATCTCCTTTCCTTCTTGACCTACAACCCTACTATTGGTATTATAATACTTGTAGATATTAATGTTTAATCAGTCCAGAAAATGTTCTAAAAGCAAAATACCCAAACCTATAGTTATTATCTTCTGTACATTTTTCTAGTTATTTAATCATGCAATTTGAATTATCAAGGAATGATACCAACCATTTGGTACCTAGGCAGTTTGGTCAGAGGGTTGAAAAGGTTTAAGAAATTACATAAAAATAATGAGTTCCTGCATGGTAAGGAATATGATAAAGTCAAAGATAAACAAGAAAGTGAGAAAAAGGATTTGCCAAATATGTCACAAACAGCTAATTTCTTCAATTTCTAACAAGTTCCTACAAAGCAATAAGAAAAAGATCAACAAACCAACCAAAAAAAGGAAATTCAAAGAAATGGAAATATAGATGCCTTTTAAGTATATCAAGAGCTGAAAACCTCATTCATACTAAGAGAAATCAAACTAAACCGACATTTTTACTACTCAGGTTGGCAAAGATCAAAAAGTTTGAAAACACAGTGTGAATGAGGCACTCTCATACTCTGTTGCTGTGAATGCAAATTAGAACAATCTTCACAAAGTGCAGTCTGACAACACTTATCGAAATTGTAAATGCCTATACCCTTTAAATTCATACACAGGTGCACAATGACATATATAAGCAGCATATAGTAGCAAAAGATTGGAAATAACCTAGAAGTCCATCAATCAGGAGCTGGCTAAATTAAGTATGGGAAAGCCACACAATGCAGTGCTATACAGAAGACAGAAGCAGTTCTCCGTGCACTAGTATGGAACAATGTCCAAGATACATCCCTCTACTGCAGAGCAGTGTGTACGGCATTCTTTGTGGAGGAAAAAAAATGACGAAATGTTATAAGGCATATGATATATGCCTATATATGCACAGATTGTTTCTGGAAGGATATACAACAAATGTTAACAGTGGCCACTAAACGAAACAAGACAGATCGGTTAAAGGAAAGGCCATGAGAGGCTGACTCATTCTGTACATTTTGAATTTTGAGCCATGCACATATATTACCTATTTTTTAAACGGATTATTTAAAATTCAAAAACATCAAAAATTAAAATAAAATTCAAATGGCAAAAACTGTTTTGATTCAGTTATAAAATTCTGGATTCACTGCCGGGAATTTCTCCTGAAGTACTTTCACATATGGCCCCTTCCCAAAAGATATACAAAAACCTAGTGACAACAAGAAAACGACTAAATAAATCACATGCTCCCTACTAAAGAATGGAGTTGATTACATGTACTGTCAGGGGATGATGTCAATGGCATAATAACTGAAAAAACCAAGTAGTAGAATATAAAAGTATGATTACATTTGTTTTTAAAAATATGATATGTAAAAGTTTTTGTTTTTGTTTTTAAAGCCAAGGAGAAGGAGTAGATGAATACATGCCAAAGAAGTGACAGCAATTATCTCTGAAGGGACTGATAAGGGTGTAGACAACACAGTATAGTGTTGTAAGTAAGAAGTAAGGGGCTTTCAAGTTTTACTTGAGTATTTGAATCTTTTCTAACAGGAGCTATTCATGTACGGTCATCCCTCAGTACCCACGGGTATTGGTTCCAGGACTCCTCCCACCCATCCCCCACCCCACAGATACCCAAATCTGTGGATGCTCAAGTCCCTCATATAAAATGGCACAGTACCTGCACATAACCTATGCACAACCTCCCATACACTTTAAATCATCTCTTTAGCACCTAACACAATGTAAATGCTATGTAAATAGTTGTAAATACCATGTGAATACTATGTAAACAGCGATCACACACAACAAATTCCAGTTTTGCTTTTTGGAACTTTCTGGAATTTTTTTCCAAATATTTCCTACCTGCAGTTGGTTGAATCTGAGGAAGTGGAACCCAGGGATACGAAGGGCCAAATGTATTACTTGCATCATTTTTTTTTTTTACTTTTAAATCACAAATGTTAAAGAAATGAAACAAGGAAAAAGAAACCTGGGAAGAAATCTGCTCATACTTCAGAAATCTTACTTATCTAGTTTTCATTACATTTCAATATTCAAAATATCAAAGAAATACTTATTGTTTAATTTACCTAAAAACTGCTTTATTTGAAGTAAAATGTCATTAGGATTCATAAACGCATTCAAAACCATTCAAAAGCCAAATGTACTTAAGGAGTTTGGCTCAACTGCCAAAAACAGCATATCATTTCTTAAGCTATGATTTCAGAGCCCTCTTCAGTTTTGTCCCATTATAATGTAGTGCTATACTGTGATTTTTTTTTTTTTTTTGGTCAACTGTCCATTCTAGATATAGTAAAAATCTGATAGTCCCCACACTATACTAAACAAACAAGCAAAAGACAAGATTTTAGAAGAAGAAAAAGGCTAGAGTGTATGTTTTGCCAACATTGTGGTGATTCCCCTTCTACTAAAGAAGAATCAGAGTTCATTTGGCCTTATTTAATTCGAAGGAGATTTTATTACTCAGCAATTAAATGAATGCCTTACAATTTAGTTAAAGAACATCAGGGATTTTAACAAGATTCCCTACTAAGGTAAACGCTTTCTCTTTCCCCACTCATTAGCTAAATTACCTTGAGAAAGTTATTTAACCTGTTATTTAAAGCTGCTTCCTCCTCTGAAAAGGGGAGTTGCTGTGAGCATTAAACAGGATAATGTATGTAGAGACTTAGCAAAATGTCTGGTAGAAAATGCTCATTAAATATTAATTTCCTTTCCTCTCCCTGTTCCCTCAAAGGCTCCTGGATAAACACAAAACGATAATGTAGTTTAGCGGAACAGTTTGTAACATGCACATTAATATTGGGATATATTTTGATTAATACTCCCCTGGTACAGAATCCCATCCTGTTCATCCTGGAGATTCCCACAATAATCATCCTTAAGTACTACTTGGTCTTCACTGGCTTCCTAAACTCCTCACATCATATATAGTAGAAATTCCCTCAACCCCAACGCAATCAGGACCAATATCTGATTAGTCAATCAAATAATCTGGTTAGATCAGATAATCATTAAAAATGATACAAACAGTAAACATTTTCAAATAAAACATATAAATAAATATTCATTCCTCTATCTTTTATCATAAGACTGAGGCCTCTTCTTTGAGTAAGGGTCCACCGTTGACAGTTCTGTGTCATCTTTTTTGCATAAACCAAAACATATCATCTGTGTTTGCCAGTCTCTCATAACATATCATCTGTGTTTGCCAGTCTGGGTTTCTTTAAAATGTGGTAAAACTTAAAATCACTGGTAAAATAACTATGGATAGAGAATCCTAGATTTTTTACAATCTTCATCTAATTCAAGAGCAATTTTTAGCAACTGTATCCATAATGCTTTACACAGCATTATCAACTTCATTATCCCACTTATTTCACTGATTTGTATAAGATTTAAATAAATAACAATAACAAATAGTGTTGGCATAAATAGGTTAGGGAATAAACGCAACTGCCTCTTGGTAAAGCATATCAGCCAACTGATGGGAGAAGCAGGCACACTGGAGTATAAGCTAACGGTATGGGGTATTCAAGAATGTGTTTATGGCAGAAATGCAGAGCACTGGGCACTGTAATGAGGCAGTTAATAGAAACTGGTTAAGAGAGCATCTGCTGTACAGACTTCTCCCCATCGTTTTCAGACCACTTAGTAATCCGCATCCTCTCTACCCAGCCAAATTTTATTTCCCACTTCTATTTAACAAGAACCCTCCCTTCAATTACATGTGCTATATTCCCTCCTTTTGCTTTTATCATTTATCCTCTTCATCCAAAAAATGCCCCCTTTTCCTCTCTGCCTATGGAAATGGCACCATCTTTCAAGCCCAGCACAAAGATAGAAATCTTTCATATCACATAATTTATCCCTTTATTTTTTATCCCTTTATTTTTTATTTTATCCCTTTATTTATCACATATTTATCCCTTTATCCCATATCACAAAATTTATCCCTTTATTATATTGTAATCCTTCATTATCCCCTTTTTCATGCATTAATCTTTCCCTTTCTGCTGGATTATTCCTATTAGCACACAAATATGTTCTAATATCTTCCACCTTATTTTTTTTTAAGTACTAAAAACTGCATACTCCCCCCCGAATAACACACTATTTCTTCTCTCCCTTCACAGCCATATTTCCTGAAACAATTGCCTATTCACGCCTCTCCTACTTCCTTACTCCCATGTACTTTAACCCCCTAAATCACTACAGTATGGGCTTCCGTCCTTGACACTCCTCAAGCCAGGACCCTTAACATCCTTATGTTGTCCAATCCTGTGATTTCTCTGTCCCCTTACCTGACCTCTCAGTGCCATTTGACAGTTGAGGATTTCCTCTTTCTAGAAACTTCCTCTCTTGCCTTCTGAGACATTACTTTCTGGATTTTTCTCCCACCCACTGGCTAACAATCTCAGTTTCCTTCCCCTAGTCCTCTACCTCTAATAAATTCTTAATGTCATGTTCATTCAAGAATCTATCCGTCTTCTCGCTCCCTCTTCTCTCCCCTAAGTCAATGGTTCGCAAAAGGGACAGAACCAACTTCTAAAGAAACTTTACAAATTTAGGGACGAATAATTTCTAAATTTCAAAAATTTCGTTTTTGGGACGAATAATAATAGTATTTAGTAAGGAAGACCAGAGATGCTAGGTGTCCTGCAATTCAAGAGACAGTCCCCAACAATGAAGACTTGTCTCATGTCATGACTTTCAAATATCCACACCAGATAGCCACATGGGTAAAAAACCTACCTAGACCCTAACTCAGGTTTATAGATAGAATATTATGATGGGTTTTAATACACATTAACTGTCAAGAAATGCAACCACTGTGAAAATTAATGGACAACTCTCTTTTTTTCCCATGAGCTGACTATAGTGTATTTTGGGAAATCAGATAACCAGTGGCAGTGAAGGCCCATCCGAGATGCCAAAACTACACAACTGTCTCACTCTGTGAGAGGAGCAGTCATGTTCACGTGATTTTACAGGGAGGTGAGGTACTTCCTATCCTGAATTCTGCTTTATTTTCTCCACATGGGGAGCTTCTCACCATCTAGCATACTTTATCTCTTACTTAGCTATTTTTTTGATTAACTCCTTCCTCCACTAGAACCTAAGTTCAGTGACTACAGAAACTTTCATTTTGCTCACTGCTCTATCCCCAGCATGCTGCACAACAGCCAGTATAGTATCTGATATAGACAAAGGCTCAGTAAATATCATGGGTGCAACCTGATTACTTCATGTCTTCTGTGGTCATTAACAAGCACTTCCATATTGAAACACATTAAAAAATACTTTTATTTCTCTATCATATTACAGTTAGAGCATTATATTGATATTTTTAAACTGTGGGCATAGATAGGTTATATTAGCTATAGATATCATGCCAAGATAGTAAAGGGAAGATTTCAAAACACCTGCCATATAAAGGCAGGACCGGGTCTCACAAAGTTGAGAAGCACTGGCCTGTGTGAGCTTATTTTTAACTCATACCTCTCTTCGAAACACCACACTCACAAATCCAACTTTCTCCTTGACAACTCCAATTAAAGGAACCAAAGACATCTCAAATTTAACATGCCCAAAGGGAAGGTGAGTCTCAACCAACTCAACCTCTCTCAACCCTATGGAGAGTGAGAAAATTGCCCCAGTGACTCCAGAAAGCTAGGAATCACCTTTCAGTCTCCCTTTCCCTGAGCCCTACTCCAGTCTACCAACAAATCCCCTACTGTCTATCTTCAAAGCATATCTGGAATCCATCCATTCTACTAGCAAAACCGTCACCTTGACCCTCACTGCCTCTTTTCTGAACTATAATGGAATCTCCTAACTAGTTGCCTGCTTCAGCTCTTTCCCCTCTGCAGTTCATTCTGCAAACAGCAACAGTGCTCATCTCAACAAGTGCTTCCCTCTGAACTGAGAATAAAATCCAACCTTCAGTCATGGCCTCTAGGATCCTGCACAGCTGGCTCCCTGATTAACTCTCCAACGTTACCTTACAGCACTCTCCCCTTTACTTACTACATGCCAGCACACACATCTTCCTTCACTTCTTAAAACAAAGCAAACCCTCAGGATCTTCCCTCTGCTGAGACTCTCCTATCCTCCAGCCTCTTTTGCCCGGCCCCTCCCCTACACAGACAGACAGACAGACAGACACACACACACACACACACACACACACACACAAACACACCTTGAGCAGCTAGCTCCTTCTCGTCCACAGGTCTCTGCCTAACTGGCACTTTCTCGGAGGCCTCCCCTGATAATTCAACCTAAAGTTCCTGAGATTCTCCATCGTTTTCTTTCGTGGCACTCATCACAACCTGTAATTATAAATGTACTCTTGGGACTTCCCTGGTGGCGCAGTGATTAAGAATCCGCCTGCCAATGCAGGGGAAACAGGTTTGATCCCTGGTCCAGGAAGATCCCAGGTGCTGTGGAGCAACTAAGCCTGTGTGCCACAACTGCTAAGCCTGCGCTCTATAGAGCCCATGAGCCATAACTACTGATAGTGAAGCCCGCGCTCCCTAGAGCCCATGCTCCGCAACAAGAGAAGCCACTGCAATGAGAAGCCCATGCACCACGATGAAGAGTAGACCCGGCTCGCCACAACTAGAGAAAGTCCGCGCGCAACAACGAATACCCAACACAGCCAATAAATAAATAAATAAATAAATATACTCTTTCTTTACTTTTTAATGTCTGGCTCTCCCACCAAAATATACACTCCATAAACACAGGAACCAAGTCTATTTTGTTCACCGTCACATATGCATCAGCTAGATCGGTGACTAGCATGGGGCTTGGCAAAGAGCAGACACTCAGTAACTATTTGCTGAAAGAAGGAATTAATGAGTCACCCTTTAATCCAACCCCTCCCTCACCAGCAAAAGCCATTTGTTACCAAGGCCTGAGAATTTTACCTAAGAAATGTCCCTCAAATCTTTCCCCTTTAATCCATTCCCATTGCCATTCTAAACGTGCACATATTGTCTGGGTAATTTTACCACCTTCTTAACTGATCTTGCCTCATCTCTCATCTATCCAGTCCATCGATAACATCACCATTCAAGTCATTCTACAAAGAAACAACCTAATCCAAACATGATCTTACTTCATTTCTGCTTGAAGAACTTCCCCCGTTTACCCTCTTACAAACTTCCCCCGTTTACCCCGTTTACAAAAAACACAGAAAAGGGCGCTGGTGCCAACCTACATTCCCAGCCTTATCCCTCACAACCTCCACTACGCACGCATCCGCTTTGACTCCAGACACATCCCAAACTAAGATCGTTTCCTAACATACCACGTATGCCACTCTGTGCCTCTGATGTTCCCTCTGCCTGGTAAAATCCTGGGTACCCTACAAGGCCCAGTTCAAATGTCACTTTTTTTAGGAAGCCTCCCTAAACCTTCAGAGACAGAATTAAGTTTCCACAGTCTACAGAAACACTCATCACCTTGTCTGGAGAGGCAGTATTTGCACCGTGTATTAACAAACCACTAGGCTTTGGAGATTTACAAGGTTAAGGCACCTTGGGCAAATTATTTACTGTTCCTAGGGTTTTTTAAGTTATAAAATATTTTTAATTGTAAAAACAGTCAATAGAGGTTGACGACGCAAATGTTATCTCAGAACATTTTCCCTTGTTTCCTGAATATGCTAGGCTCCTATGTACCAGCAAGTCCCCATAGCAGTTCTCAGGTTTCATGGTTCCTTTCAGATATGTTTTAATTGATTACATGTATATATTGCTTGGAAACAAAAGTCCATGTGATATTAAAACAAACAAACAAAAAACTTGTATCTTTCAGGTACTTCAATTACAATATGGGAAAATAATACAAGAGCAGGACTGTTATAAGGACTAAGAATTGAAAAAAACTTAGCACAGACCTGGCAATAATGAGATTCAATACATATTAGCTATTATTTATTAACCTAAACTGTGTGGGTCAGTCTCTGAGATACCGGAAAGCAAAGACTAGGCTTTGGCAATCTGTGTATCCCCATTACCTATCATCTGGCCCAATAACACACCCAGTAACTGTTTCTCACATAAAAATGAAGTTGAGCTTGAGTATTGCCATGGCAATGTCTGATTAGGTCAGAGAATCTTTAGGAAATATCAACAATATTTTATATTGATATGGAATCAGGCTGTATATTATCATGCATCTATCAACTCCAAACATTAATAGCCCAAATGATTATCGTTCTAATGCTCTGGCTCATCATGACAATTTTTTTTTTTAAACATCATCTCCATCACTCTAGCATTAAAAGCTAGCTACCCTCCCCCCGCCAACGAAGGGTGTGTGTGTGTGTGTGTGTGTGTGTGTGTGTGTGTATGTGTGTGTGTGTTTCAGTGGCCGCGTGGTCACACCTTGGGATGTCCTGACTGGCAGGTGGCCTGTTAGGAGTCCTGACATCAGGGTCACCCTGCAGGCAGAGCAGTAACAGCCTCCCCGCGCGGCACAGCGCGCCGCGGACGCCTGCGAGCAGTGCTCCTATCACATGGGCTGCAGTCTCGGCAGTCAGCCCTCCAGAGAGGGCTGTACAAACACTGCACCCAGCAGGGCGGTCGACAGGGGAATAGGCTGAGAGGCTGCGGGCGAGGTGACTAAGATCCTTCACAGGGCTCGGCGCTCCCTGTGTTTGGAGGAGCAGGACCTTGCACCAACCTCCACGAAGGCATCAGTCAGGTCACTAGCTCGGTCCATCACCGGCAAATGGCGCCCGGCCACGATTTTCACCTTCAGCTTCCCAGGCATCGTCTCGGCTTCGGCCTCTCCTTGGGCTCCTGCAGAAATAAACAAGCGAGTCTGAGCCGAGCGCCCAGTGGGGCGGGGGAGGGACGGGGGCGCGCGGGGTAACTGACAGCGGAGGGCGCGCAGCGGCGCCGCCACTTACTCTCGGAAGAAAAAGGGAGCCGTCCTGCGCGGGAACTGAGGCCTCATTCCGGAGAGGCAGCCGGAGGAGCGACCCCGGTGGAGGATTCTGCCCCGGCTCCACAGCGCAGGAAAGAAAAGCAGAAGCCAGTCAACATCCCACTGACCCGCAGCCGCCCATACGAGCGTTTCTCCTCCCCCCAAAATGGCGGCTCCCAGGGCGGGGAGGAGGCATCGATCGCTCGGCGCTCGGCCCACTTCTCCTGGGAGGCACTAAATTCGCGGAGAGCAGATAAAGGAGGCGGGACGGACTTCGAGGAAGCTGGTAGGCAGGGAAACGGGTCGAGCCCCGCATCATCCACCGAGTCTGGGGCTGTAGTTTGGCGCCTTGCTGCTTACCAGGAAGAAAACCTGCCCACCCTCTGGGAATGAACCGCAGCTGCGGCTCGGTAACTTCTGCAATGCATTTCCAAAAGGCTGGGACAGAAGGAGAAGCAGCGGAGACTGCTAGAGGAGCGATTTCAGTCTGCCTTTAACAACCCACTAGTAGTTTGTGAAATCAGCTTAACTGGTTTCCACCTGGAAAGGGTACAGTTTTTCTTATATCTGAAACAGAGTGAAAAATTTCAGGAACATCTTGGATAGTCGAGTAAGTATTCTGCAGTAACACTGTTTATTCAGTCATACACACGTGTACTGGGTGACAGAGGTTAACGTAGATCTTTGGGGGAAAAAAAAACAAAAAATTTCGAAATCCAAAGCCACTGCTTGAAAGAAATTGCCCTGCACTCTTAGATCATCTCAGTGTGGTTATTAAACATCTGCAAACCTAAAGATAAGACCTGGCAGTAGTTCAGGACCTCCTATCATAGGAAATTGTGTTCAACTAATTGGACCAGATAAGCTTGATTAAACATCTTGAAGAATCGACCCAATTGTATATATACATAAACATGCTAAAATGAGGCCTAATTTATAAGCTCAGACCATCAGAAAAAATTTAGGGAAGTTGAAACACACATACGCAAGAGGCAACACAAATCACTCCATACCACGCATCAAAAGTAGAAATAACAATAAGTGCCATATCAAATACTAAAATCAGCACTAACCATTCCAGTAAAAAGATTATACCACTGGATTCATCAGGAGTGGCAAATTCCCAAATGAAGATATCAGGATGATATTTTTAACTTTAAAAATAAAGGCATCCAAATTGGAAGGAAAGAAGTAAAACTGTCACTATTTACAGATGACATAATACTGTATAAAGAAAGACTCCATGGAAAAATAGTTAGAACTCATAAATGAATTCACTATAGTTGCAGGATACAAAATCAATGTATAGAAACCTGTTGCTTTCTTTAAACTAATAACCAACTATCAGAAGGAGAAATTAAGAAAATAATCCCATTTATAATTGTATCCAAAAGAATAAAATACCTAGGAATAAATTAATACAAGGTGAAAGACTTGTATACTGAAAACTATAAGACATTGGTGAAAGAAATAAGACACAAAATACTGAAAAATATTCCATGCTCCTGGATTGGAAGAATTAATATTGTTGAAATGTCCATATTACCCAAAGCATTCTACAGATTCAATGAAATCCCTATCAAAAATTACAATGCCATTTTTCGAGGACTAGAACAAACAATACTAAAATTTGTATGAAACCACAAAAGACCACAAATGGCCAAAGCAATCCTGAGAAAGAAGAACAAAACTGGAGGTATCACAGTCCATGATTTCAAACTATACTGCAAAGCTATAGTATCAAAACAGTATGATATTGTCATAAAAATAGGCACACAGATAAGTGGAACAGAATAGGGAGCCCAGAAATAGACCCACAAATATATGGTCAATTAACAACAAGGGAGCCAAGAATATACAGTGAGAAACTGGATAGCTACATCAAAAGAATGAAACTAGACTACTATCTTATACCATAGGCAAAAATTAACTCAAAATGGATTAAAGACTTGAGTGTAAGACCTGAAACCATAAAACTCCTAGAAGAAAACATAGGCAGTAAGATCCTTGACATAGGTCTTGGCATTGAAATTTTGGACTGACTCCAAAAGCAAAGGTAACCAAAGCAAAAATAAGTGTGACTACATCAAACTTAAAAGCTTCTGCATAGCAAAGGAAACCATCAATAAAATTAAAAGACAACTTACTGAATGGGAATACAAATCATATATCTGATAAGGGGTTAATACCCAAAAGGTATAAAGAATTCAAACAACTAAATAGTAAAAAAATCAAACAATCTGATTTTAAAATGAGCTGAGGATCTAAATAGATATTTTTCTAGGGAAGACATACAGATGGCCAACAGGCACATGAAAAGGTGTTCAGCATCACTAATTATCATGGAAATGCAAATCAAAACTGCAATGAGATAGCAACTCACACCCATCAGGATGACTACTATCAAAAAGACAAAATTTAACAAGTGTTGGAAAGGATGTGGAGAAAAGAGAACACTTGTACATTGTTGGGGGGAGTGTAAATTGGTGCAGCCACTATGGAAAACATTATGGAGCTTCCTCAAAAAATTAAAAATAGAACTACTATATGGTCCAGCTCTTCCACTTGTTGGTATTTGCTGAACACAAAAACACTAATTTGAAAAGATGTATGCATTTGAATTGCAACATTATTTACAAAATAGCCAAGATATGGAAGCAACCTAAGTGTCCCTTGATAGGTGAATGGATAAAGAATATGTGGTGTATGTATATACAGTGGAATACTACTTAGCCATAAAAAAACAAGGAAATCTTGCCATTTGTGACAACATGGATGGAACTTGAGGGTATCATGATAAGTGATATAAGTCAGAGAAAGACAAATACCATATGATTTCACTTACATGTGGAATCTAAAGAAGAAAACAAATGAACAGACAAAACGAAACTAAACTCATAGATACAGAGAAAAGATTGGTGGTTACCAGAGGAGAAGACAGTTGGGGGTGGGCAAAATGGGTGAAAGTGGTCAATTGTATGGATGGTAACTAGAATTACTGTGTTGATCACTTTGTGGTGTATACATATATCAAATCACTATGTCGTACACCTGAAATTAATGTAATGTTACATACCAATCTTACCTCAATAAAAAAAAAAAAAGGGGCTTCCCTGGTGGCACAGTGGTTAAGAATCCGCCTGCCAATGCAGGGGACACGGGTTCAAGCCCTGGTCCGGGTGGATCCCACATGCTGCGGAGCAACTAAGCCCCTGTGCCACAACTACTGAGCCTGCTCCCTAGAGCCCACGAGCCACAACTACTGAGCCCATGTGCCTAGATCCTGTGCTCCATAACAAGAGAAGCCACCACAATGAGAAGCCCACGCACCGCAGCGAGGAATAGCCCCCGCTCACTGCAACTGGAGAAAGCCCATGCACAGTAACAAAGACCCAACATAGCCAAAAATAAATAAATAGATTTGTTTAAAAAGTAATAATAATAGGGCTTCCCTGGTGGCACAGTGGTTGAGAGTCCGCCTGCCGATGCAGGGGATGCGTGTTCGTGCCCCGGTCCAGGAAGATCCCACATGCCGCGGAGCGGCTGGGCCGGTGAGCCATGGCCACTGAGCCTGCGCATCTGGAGCCTGTGCTCCGCAATGGGAGAGGCTGCAACAGTGAGAGGCCCGCGTACCGCAGAAAGGAAAAATAATAATAAAATAAATAAATAAAAATTTTTTAAAAATTACTCAATGGGTTAAATTAAGTACTCTAGGCAGTGGTGACCCAGAATTATCTTTTCAAAGCAAAAATTTCTTTTACAGAAGGAATATTGCTTACATAAGTGAGAAGTTGAACTACCTCAAAATAAAAATCTAAAAGAGAAACCACTGACTTTTTGGACTAGGGAAACCTTTATCCATCCAAACTATGACAAAAGGATAGAGACCACAGTTCCAATGCAAATTTCCTTAGATCTACCTGCAGTTTTTTTATGGAGTCTAACCCTACACTTAAAAATGCCCTTACCAGGGCTTCCCTGGTGGCGCAGTGGTTGAGAGTCTGCCTGCCGATGCAGGGGACATGAGTTCGTGCCCCGGTCCGGGAGGATCCCACACGGAGTGGCTGGGCCTGTGAGCCATGGCCACTGAGCCTGCGCATCCAGAGCCTGTGCTCCGCAATGGGAGAGGCCACAACAGTGAGAGGCCCGCGTACCACAAAAAAAAAAAATGCCCTTGTCATACTCTCGAGGTCAGCTATAGTACATGATCAGCTAATCCTAGTGTGTTTTGTTTTGTTTTTGGTGGTAGAGGTGAAAGAGCTTTTTTACTGAAATCAAAGCGTTGCCATACTACCAGTTTTTCACTTTAGATACCAAAAAATATAAAGAGAAGAATTAGAAAACTGAAGTTTAGCAACAATCTTAATGAAAAATAATACATTGTGTTACAAGATGTTGTAATGTAAAAAAAAAAAAAATTGCAAATTGCACAGTTAGAGGTTAGCAGTTCAGCCTCCTAATTAGTAGCCTGAGAGGTACTTGTACATAGCTGTCGCCTTAGGCTTCATCAACAGGAGATTATAATTAAGATGTTTCCTGAAGATTTTTTTTTTTTTTGGTAGAATTAAGCCTGACTTCAGTTTGTCTTCTAATAATTGCACCAGTTTCTTTTCATTAGTGCTGGGAACAATGCTGAATTTCCTGACAAATCCACCATGATCTGGTTCCTGATTACCTTCTTTAGCTTCATACCTTGCCACACTTTTTGCATTTTAGATCCTACAGTAATAACAAGAGCTAATGTATATTGAATATTTACTGTGTACCAGCTGCTGAATTCAGTGCATCTCAGCTTTTATGCCTCCCGAAAAATCTGACATAGGAATTATCAGCTTTCATTTTATAGATGAGGATGTTGAGGCTTGGCAAAGGTATGGTCATTACCCAAAGTCACAGAGCTGGTAATTTTGGAGACAGGGTTTATATCTAGACAATGCCATTCCAAGAACCCATATTCTTTAAAGGCTGTATGCAGTTTTCCGGTAAATGATGCTTATCTCTCTGCCTGGGATACCTTTCTCATAGTCATCCGAGAAAACAATTAAGAATTCATAACTCAGTTTAAACGTGACTTCAAATGTCTTCCCTGTTCTCCTTCGTAATAAACATACTATGCTACCACTGTGTCTAGCACATGTGTTACTGCACTGTCCTTATACA